TCTTAATTTAAATTTCGGTAGAGAGTTTACATTGTTTACATTATTCGGACTATTATCCTTATCTTCATTGCCATATTCACAACGTTTCGGCCTTCTTCAGGTGATTGGAATTTTCGAACCGAACCCTTTATTTCGTCCACCGGAGTAGATTGTTCTAGTTCCACGTGCCATACCTCTTCCGTGTGCCTCAGTTATTTCCCTTTAACTCAAGGACACATGGCCCAGTTGATAAAGACGTTGGCTAGATCCAGTGACTAGACCCAAAGAGTTGTGAGTTCAATACCAGGCTCCAGTTGAGTTGAGTTAAAGAGAAATAACTGAGACATCCGGAAGAGGTGTGGCACATGGAACTAGAACAATCTACCCCGGTGGACGAAATAAAGGGTTCGGTTCGAAATTCCAATCACCTGAAGAATGCCGGAACGTACAACGGACGAAACGTTGTGAATATGGCAATGAAGATGAGGATAACCGTTTGAATAATGTAAATAATTATAATACCTCATCTCAAAGATATAGACAGATATTCGGTAGAGATAATTTCTCTAGCTAGCAGAGAACTACCCCACCTTGGTACACTGGGGGCGTAATCCTGACGTGGCGCATACCATACAACTCTTGGAGTATATTAGGAAACTCGCAATTAACTGTAACACGGAATGGTGGACTTTATGATCTTGAGCGAGGTCGGATAAAAGAATATCATTGTTTTGTTTGACTGAGAACTTCTTTTAAGAACGAAAGTCTTGTTGCAAGAAATTAAATTAGTGCATGACGATTGTGACAGTCATTTTATCCCTGGTTCACTAGGGATATTGCTTAAGATTCAATAAAGATACACATAGATTTCTTTTTTGCACCATTCCTTTTGTTTATAAAAAGGTCGATCACCGTCGCTTCGCTGACAGCAATATGATCAAATTTGAAATCTAAATTGTTTGCCATTTTAAATGTTTCATTTATTAGAAAATATATAGTCATCAAACTGATTACAGAAGGCCGGTTTATAGTATTGAGTTTGAATATTTCATTTTAGCTTCCTTCAATACGCGGACGTCGGAAAGTACCATCTATTATTAATTCGGTACCTATCACTTCGGCAAGATCAAATTTCAAATCTGAATTGCTGTCCATTTAAAATGATACATTTATTAGAAAATATATTCAGTTTAAATACAAAAGGAATCAGAAAAATGACTCCAAAGAGACATACTTTTTAGTCTCTACTCTTTTCCTGTTACTCGGGTGTTGTTACCAGACAAAAAAAAAAAGCCTTCCTTATACAGATGTCAATTTCATCTGTGTCGCCAGGACTAATTCATTGTATATAAAAGCAGCTGAATAAGGCATGTTTCTTGTATTTCTCAGGACAACAATCCAAAGAAGGATCTGCAATGTATTCGATCTTTACCAGGCATCTTGACTTCAGTCACCGTCCACCAACGTGACGTGACTCCCCTCTGTCTTTTCTACAAATATTTTCATGGCTACTGCTCTGCCAATCTTTTTTGCCTGGTGCTCCGACAACATGAATTTAAGCGTGCTAGTGGCATCTAGGTCTCACCCTTTTTATTGTTGATATAGCTAAATGCAACCACCATTTCTACTCTAACCGTTTCTTTTTTTGCACTTCTCACCTGTGGAACCCCCTTGCGTTTACTTGCTTCCTTGATAACTACAATCTTCAAAAAGTTAGAGGTAACTACAATCGCTACATTCTGTTTTCTTGAATCCCGTTAATCTTTCGTTCTTTCCTCAATCCTCCCTACTCTCAGTTTTCTCTTTCATTTTCACTCCCTATTGCATCCTGCGTACTGATGGCATTCGCGCCTTGCTTGGGGTGAATGATAAAAAAGATTACTATCGACTCCAAATAATTTTGATCATGTCTCATTAAATGAATCACAGGGTGCGACAGGAAAACCTCCCACATTTTAAACTATCACATGTGTGGTGATAGTGAACATAGGTAAGAAGCAATGGTGTCTTCCTCTAACTAATGTCTTACCTTTTGTTGCCATCATGGCTTGGACCGGTGCATCGCTGTGCGTTTGCTGTTGGAACGTTTTTTTTTTTTTTTGTTTTTTTTTTTTAAATTGGTGAATCTGTAATCGCAACACAGAGACATTTTCGTGCTCATTTCATTTTATATTGAAATAGTGTTGTTCCGGTTAGATAAACCGATACTGCTATGTGTTGAAATTTCAGGGGAATAAGTTCAGCGCCTGAAGTCCTCAAAATTCCGGATGATAGAAAACTTTAGAAATCATCTACAACAGTGTATGCCGAATAGAGGCCGCCATGTCATTTTAAAAACCAAATCAATACAAGCTGGAACAGTTTGTTTAAACAACAGTAAAATCATTTTTTTAATGGCAGTTACCTTTGTCTTTTTGTCAACCTTTAAAATGTGTGGGGGGTGTTTCTGTCACACCCTGTATAAACAGCAAAATGTAAAAAATAGTTTTGTTTTGAAACAAAAAATTCATATCCTATAAAGAACGTTTTGTCATGATCGTCTGTAAGTTGAGGGAGAAATATGTGATTGAGAATAAAACTAGAAGCCGATAAAAATAAAATAACAGTCGACATTGGGAGTTGAAGAAGCTAAAGTTTCCAGAGAAATAGCGGGAAAAGCTTTTTGAGAGAAAAAGATTTAGATATAAGCCGAATGGTTAACTTCAATGGACAGAAAATGGTTAAATAAAATACAAAAATCACTTCACTTGGCAACCAATTAAATATTCAATGACAATTGTTGTCTGTTGTTTATTTTGAGGATTGATGAATAAATTCCACAAAATCTCCAGTAATAGAACATTTAGCGACTAGATTTCTTGAACTCAATGCTTAAAGCTTGTTTGCGACATTGAAAAAAATCATCTTTATTATTTTTCTATTCTGCTTGAAGATAGCAATTCTTGGGTGAATTGAAATATCTCGAAATTCCGGTTTAAACCTGTACTCGAACCCCAACCAGTGGAGTGGGTAGTCAAAACCAACTACCTCAGCCACCAACTAAGACTCAATATTGGATTCTGGTAAAATGCAACTACGATTACAAGTCACAACCACTTAGTAGGATCAATTGTTTCAGAATAAAACGTATATAACATATTCTCCTTTTAATATAAACTAGCATAGTACCCGTTAAAAATGTACAGGGTTATTTACGCCTGGGTTGGCGTTTTTGTCTAGGATCACTGTAGTACGTGTACGCTTTGCCGAAGATCAGTGCAGTATCTTTGCCTAGGATCAGTGTCGTGCCTGTGCGCTATGCATGCGATCAGTGTAGTATCTGTGCACTTTGCCTAGAATCTAAATATCGGTTATCGGGTTCTTTTGCCTAGGATTAGTAATGGCTCTTTGCTTTGTAAGATGTGTTCTAAATACAATGTAGTCATCTACTGCCTTATTTGTTCGTTTCCCCACAACATCAAAATTGTAAAACGAAAGGGAGAGGAGTAAAGGCGAAGGTAAAGTGAAAGTGAAAGTGGAAATGTACAAAGTAAGTAAGATAGCTAAAGAAAAACAAAAAAAAAAAAAAGCAGTTGAAAGGAAGATGGACGGATGAAGATAAAAAACAAACAAACAGGTTTCCTGTTTTAATTCTTTTCTTACACCTTGTTATAGTGGAACACACCTATTCTATAGTTAATAGATTCTCCCACCTATAATAAGTAGGAGTAGTAATAGTAACGAGGGGTCGGTCGGTCAGTCAGTCGATGTCGGACGATAGTTAGTCGAATACTAAAGTATCAGCGACCACAACTAGATTACTCTGCGTTATACCTATTATATCAAGTTCCTAACGTTTTGTACGTCGAACCTATTTTGGGACCGACTTAGTACAAATACAAGCCTCCACTGTGAAATCACTCCACAACACTCCTTATCTCTTTCATCTTTTAAAATGCGTTAAGTTTCGTTCTTTGTGAGCGTGATGCATACCTTACGTAGGTAGGTATTAGTATATAGATCCTTTAAAGGGAACGGCTAATTATAGGGAACAGAATTCATAGTTTTGATATATTCTGCTTAAGAAGATTCGAATACACTATTTACATTATTCGAACTATTGTCCTCATCTTTGTCGCCATATTTATTACAACGTTTCGGTCGTTGTACGCTCCGGCTTTCTTCAGGTGGTTGGAATTTCGAACTGAACATTTTATTTCGCTCACTGGGGTAGACTGTTCTAGTTCCACGTGCTATGTTTAATGGATGTCAGTTATCAGTTATCTCCTGTTAATTCCCCTCTTCAAGTTCTCTACTGCCTTAACCGGGTATTGAACTCACACACTTTGGGTCCTGTCACTGGATCTAAGTAACGCCTTTATCCACTGTGCCATATGTCTACCCCAGTGAGCGAAATAAAGGGTTTGTAACGAAGTTTTTCGGTTTCTTAATGCTCTGCTTAGCTTTTGGAATGTATTTTGGCTATCCCAATACGTCTTCAGATTTCAGTGTCGCACTTTCCATCCTCTGTTAGAACACTTCTCAGATGGTCTAAACGCTGTGATCATTACGACAAAAGATGAGGACACTAGTTTGACAATAAATAATGTAAATGATGGTAGAGAGTTACCATATTGTTGACTATATTTTGATGATAATTAAAAGTGGCTTTGTAGATTTATGTTAAATAATTATATATGGCACTTTGCTCGGAGGGGGCAAATCAAACTTTTCGAGAGAAATACTTTGACATGATCATTATATGTTGATATTTTTTACAGATAGAAACACGATCTCGAAAGGGAGCTACTATAAAACATTACTCTTTTGCAAAGTGTTTTTTGTTTCTCTTTTATATGAGAGATAAGGGGAGAAATGCAGTAGAAGACATAAAAAATACGGAAAACTTTACTAATATTCTTTACTAAGTTTTATGCATGTTTGTTAGCGGGAAATATGATTTGCAAGGGTTACGGTAAGAGTTAGGGAAATATTTCAAATATAATTGAAAACCCTGACACCTATCCTTGGAAACCCTGGCCGATGGCCATATCACGTTGAAACACCGGTTCCGGTCCGATCACCGAAGTTAAGCAATATGGAGCCTGGTCAGTAACTAGAAGGGTGACCTCTTGGAAATACCAGGTGCTACAAGCTTGGACGTGCATGTTGTGTAATGGATAATGACTCGGAATGAAAAATCAGAGAGCAGAATTCGGTTCGAATTACAGTCAGGTTTGTTTCCCTTGGAAAAGGTATGAATCCACCGCCTATCTCCCCAAGCTATGGGTTAAATAGTAGAACGTATATCTGAAAATTATTACTATCTACAAATATTCTTAATACGATATTCACCCGCAAATATATATTTATATATATTCTTGTGTTAAATTTCTCAGAAAAAATCTGTAGAGAAGACAAACTGAATAAAATAGACAATCGCAAAATAGTACTTAGTCCTTGCAGACAGGTTTCATCATTTCACTCTATCTAGCCAAGTGATAAAGTCAAATGACGATTTTCCGATTATCTATTTTATTCACAAATATTTTTGCAACCCCAAAAATATATTTCGGCTTTAAATAACCTACAAGGTGTTGATAAGCCGTAAAAAATGTAATTAATCAATTGGAAATCGTATTTCACGCATATGAATGATTATGTATATTTTGTATCAGGTCTGTTTCTCTGAACGTCTGTTTTTACGAAGAGATACTGAAAAGTTCTCAGCCTGACTAAAAAGAGATTTCAAAAAATTATCTGTTTGGTCATAGTTGGGAAGTAGGTCGGGCTGAGAACTTTTCAGCATCGTTTCTTATTGGTGGTAGACTTCTTACAGGACCATTTTCTGTTTGGGGAATAAATATTCTATTTTTATCTTAAAATTTTCTTTGCCGCTTCCAAAAGCAGTCTCTGACATACAATCAATGTTTTGTAAGATATTTTTTATTGTTGTCTTTTTGTTTGTTTGTTTGTTTTTTTTTACAAAAAAAGAAGAAAAACGCTTTATAAGAAGACGAACAAAAGACGAAAATGTCATAAACAAAGAAACAAAATCCAAATTCAAGTAAGACAATATAATTCTATTATAAGACGACGTAATATTTGCTCTATAACAAAGGATGTCATCGATCGTCCACATTTCATTATTCCACACAGTGGCACATGTATTATTTCAAATTCCCTCGTCAAAATGTCTCGTGTTTAAGACCAGGAAATGACAAGGAGATGGGTTTAAAAAAACTTCAGATGATGGCGTTTTACTTTTGCTGTACAACTGTTATAAGAAAAAATATACTATCATCATATATTGGGAAACTAATATTTTTATTTAACATGTGAATATACACAAGGAAGCATCGGATGAAACCGGAATATATTAAATAAAGATTCGCAGAAAATTATGAAATATTTTAAAAATACTTTATTACGAGTTTTTGCGAGGGACATGAAAAAATCGGAAAAATATTTAACGTCTTTTTTGTTTCAACTCTAACATATTTTATAATCTAATGTAGCTACCTCATGTATAACTCGTTTTAAACGTTTTCTTATTTCTCCTCTTCATTTTGTCAGAAAACTAAGATTTTTTTTCTATTTAAAACCTGTTGAGTTACGCCGTGCCACGATACTTCTTTTATGCACCATCTCTCTTCAGGACGTGGGTGATCGTGGCTCTCCACAGTTCCCTATCTTTTGCAACTGTACAAAGTTTGTTCCCTTACTATTTCTCTCGGTCCCTGCTATGCCATTAATTTACATACATTCGTTGCCTATTTAGCAGTTTCCCTTGGCCCAGTTTGCCATCAGTATTTCACCATTCTATAATATCTCAAGTACGTCACATTTGGGATATAGTACAAGACTAAATTAAGCTTAGTAAATACATAAGGCAATATAATAATACAATCAAGGATGATACTGTAACACGATTTTTATCCTTGGATAGCACCTGTTATTTCCTATTTGCTCACACCTAGAAAGTATGGAAAATGGCTAATATTTCCTTTAAACTTTGGTTTGTGACCAGGATAATATTTCTGAAAATTACCTATTCTCATTGCGAAAACTGGCGAATATGAACATTCTCATTCACGCAAATTATGAACAAAACTACATATGATTCAAAAGTAGCATTTTTTTATACTAGGCTTCCACAAGAAAGACCACAAAAAATTTAAAAGTGAGTAGTTTTTTGCGATTTGCGCTTATACTGTAAATTACTTTCACAAATCAGTCCCAAAATATAGTCTCCCATCATGTTTCCTTGATATGGTCCTTGATATGGTCCAGAACGTTCTAGAAATTCTTGAAACTTTTAGAAACTTCTTGAGAGTTTCTGGAAACTTCTAGAAAATTCCCCTTTTAGCAACTCAGCGCTGAATCTAGAATATAATGGAAAATAGGATAGTTTCAAAATATCGAGACCAGATCACAAATTTTACAGGGAATAATAGTTATTTCTCTTTGCTTTACTGGCAGAAACAATTAGGAAATAATACTTATTAACCAAAGGCAAAAAAGTCAAAATTTTGTTATACAGTGTAATTAATAGTCCAGTACAAAATACAAAGTTAATGGAATCGACAACAGTATAAGCCACATACTATTGGAATAAGTAAGAATACGGATAAGTGTGTTAGGGATTTCAGAAAGCCTATTATTATTATTTGTTACACTAAATTTTATCCAACACAAGGCTCGAGAGCTACTCAGGGAAGAGGGTTACTATTAAAATGGCTACGATGAAGGAGATATGTGATATGAAGGAAAGAAAAGGCGGTAGGAAGTAAAGATTATAAATATAAGGGAGGGGGTCTATAACGATTGACACTTGACTTGAAGAGGTTGATTTAGGGAAGCACGTACACGATAGTTTGTTTAACAAAGTAATAGTTTTTTGGGGGAAAAAAGCTGTCTTGCTGGAAGTTTTTTCTTACATATGGAATATGGGGGAAACCAGAGTGATTCAACTTTGTAGAAGTAACATATCATATCTTAGCTGTAGAACTGGCGGAACTAAACAAAGGAGTTCATCTGAATATTTGTCATGGAAATAGCGATAGAAAAAATTTATTCTTTGGCTGTAGCCATACCATATCCCTCGTGTTAATAATAATAATAATAATAATAATAATAATAATGAGGCACAACAGAGCAATGAAAAATCAATGAAAACTACTCAGTGACAGAAGGACGAAAAACGCGGGAAAAGTGAGGAGCGAAAAACAGATATAACAATGAAAAAAAAATTCCGCATCAGAGGATTTAAATGTCGGGTAGAAATTATGTCAAACAGTCGTGAACGCAGAGGACATCTAAAAAGCGAAATGGAATTTCGCATCATTTCATCCCAAAATAAGTGTAATAACATTGGTGTTCTCCTAAGAAATAGTTCTCCTTAATACCTGAGGAGCCCAAAAGGGGCAAATGCCGAGATGGTTTTGTCCCTGTCTCCATATATGCGGAAGATTCTCACTTTAAATTAGACTTTGCGTCACATTCCGTTCGGGTGGGGTGTGGTTAGATCTCTACACTGAGAGTCGTGCTGCAAGTGATTTATGTTTGACCATATAAACAAAGAGCTACGCTTGGAATAACAATGGCAGTAATAAAATGGCCAACATGGATCAAAGAAGAGACCAACGTAAGAGAAGTGATTAAACATAAAAAATAGAGGTAGGCGACAGACATAGCAAGAAGAATCAAGTAGATTTTCTCCTTCTCCTGGTTTGGTTGCCAACCACAGCTAGAAAGCCTAGTCGAACTCGTTATTTAGCCAGTTGTTGGTGGGAGAAGATATGGGTTCATATCTTTCCCAAGCGTATTTGTGTGAAAGTGAATGCAATGAACATGATCGGAATTTGCACTAGGTCCATTGATCACTCTTTCCGAGCCGTCAACTATTACACTACTAGCACGTTCACAATAATAATAATAATAATAATAATTGGTATGAATAACACCCAGACCCGTTTACGGAGATAGGAGCTGTAACAATTTTATGGAACTATGATAATACACACAGTCAGAACAATCAAAGCTAATCGCCCAGGCATCGGGATTAGAGATCGCAAAGATAAAATGTGCCTCTTTATTGATATGGCAGCCCCGGCAAACTGCAATGTATCTTTGAAGATCTTTGAAAAGCTATCAAAATACAAGGACCTTGAAATCGAAATCTCAAAAATGTGGCACATGAGGACCTCAACAATTCCAGTTGTAGTTGGAGCCCTCGGATAGGTTGGAAAAGATTCCAAAAGAATCATTGAAGGGATACTTGGTAGCCCATGCCTTAAAGAAATACAAAAAAAATTGTACTCACGAGTAAAGCCAACACCTTACGAAGGGTTTTGTCTATGTAAAATTTTTTTTTTTTTTTTTTTTTTTTTCAAATTGCTCAGTGGAAAATATCATGATGCCATTTCTGACCTTAGCTCTCTGGGCGGGACCCAGAAAGAAATAAGTACACAGCGGAAATCAAAGAAAATAATAATAATAATAATAATAATAATATGCTCTGAGGTTAAATTATGCTTATCTGACACATCCACGCACGAAAATTACTGAAATTTACTTCAACATCTAGTAATCAATAGCAAGATGATTAGATAAACTGTGAAGAAATTTTAATAGAAAACTTACATAATAGCGCATGCGCGCACACAGACAGAAAAAAAAACGCATGAAGAGATACTGTGGAGAAGAACATTTTCTGTGTCCAATCAAAATGACTGGAATAAAATAATCTATTTAATCGACTTTTTAATCTATTACATTTTATCATGAAGCACCTGCAAGACAACTTCTATTTTCATTGCTGACAATTTGATAATTAGTTAAAGGACAATAATAAATACTCTTGTAATAATTAATCTTTTTAATTGATAGTAAATGCAACTAACGATGTTTTATCTATAGAAACCTGCTAAAGCTTAATTATATATTTTTACCGATTCTCACATACAAATATTTCTTCTTTTTGGAGACAATAATTGATTGGAGTAGAAAACATAAAGTCTACCCAAACAACAGCAATCATATTTAAATTGTTAACAACATCGCATTCGACGCATTCTATAGACGATAGATCCATATAAGTCAGATCTAATGATGTTTTCTCCTAGCATTATAGATAGTAAGGTCTATTGTATT